TGTTACAAGCTGTTCATGAATAGATAAGATCCCTAAAGTTGCAAAGACTAAAGTAGTGATGTGCGGATGAGCTAAAACGTGACCCGAATCAGCAGCTTCAAATAATTTATCCACTCACACCTGTATTTTTGTCTGATTTAGATAACCGCACCCAATCATCACATTAGGTTTCGTACGGTCATGAAAAACCTGGAAAAGTCATTGAACAGCAATTTGGATAGCTGGCCAATCAGAGCACACCTCGCTTTTCAGACCGATAAACGCATTTCATTACACCAAATACATAAAATAATGTTATTTTTAGCAACATTATATGACCCCTTTAATATTGACCAAGCATCATTTAATTCAAATGTCCACTTAATCTTTAATATCTGGCCATTTCTTTACGACAGAAATGCTATAGCCACTGTAATTTAATGAATATGTGGACATGCGATGTATTCTCCTGTGTTTGCGTAGATTTATAAATGATTTACCTTACAAATCTGTTGAAATGGAGCACGTTGCGCTCCCAGATGAACGTTATAATAAACCCAAACTCACAACAACATGCACAGATTGCACGGAGCCGCTGTGAGATGCACATACGTAACCTACACGCCTATAACTGCATCACATATAATTATTTAATTAAATTGTAGCGTTTGTGAATTCAGTTATGCTTAATTATGATTTTTAAACGGGCTTAATATATCATGCAGCCTTGGAAAACAGTCTAATAATGTTTTATGGATTCTCGTATGTTCAGAAGAATTTTTCATTGGCAGTTTATGTTAACTAATGAATTAACTTAATTAATGGCCATCGCCATAATCACACGATGGCGCCGCAAATGGCAGCCAGGACACTGAGCTCCGCGATTCTTCTATTGTTTTTGTTTGTTTGTTCTGTGTTTTGTCATTCTTCTCCGCCATGTGCTTCTCGTCCGCGCTTGTTTACATCAGAGTGCGCACGCATCTTTCATGCAGCATACGGCGGTGTTGTGCATTTTGACCAGTTTATGGGAAAAGTATTCTTAAAATGCATTCAAAATTCTGAATAATTTGTAATATATAATTATTCACGGTATTTAGAAGTGCCCACGATAACAATATCGTGCATATTCATTACCGTGATATATCGCATTACCGAATACCGGCACAAGTCTAATGGTATTATAATGTTATACTAAAATAAACATTTTAATAATGGGGAAAACCCTTAAGATAACATGTAGAAAGAAAAAAACGCATCTTAAGCACGCAGAATAACATAAGTGGACTTTGAACGATTAATTGCCGCTTTGAACGATTATGTAATTGTGGCATCTATAATTGTAATCGCGATTAGAAATTCGATTAATTGTGCAGCCCTAAGTTCATGCATTCACTGGGAATCGAACCCATGACCTTGGTTTTGTTACCGCCATGCTCTACTGTTTGAGTACAGGTAGATCTGAGCGCTGGCAACGCCAAGGTCACGGGTTTGATTCCCAGGGAATGTATGAACTAAGAAAAATGTTAAAGAAAAATCTTATATGCAATCAGTGCAGCTTTGGATAAAAGCATCTGACAAATACATAATATAGACATTTTTTGTTTTAACAAAACTTTCAAAAGTGCAGCTACCATATGGATTTCATATACTTAAAATATACTAAACATTAACATACTACTGCTAAATATGAAATAACTAGGACTGGGCCATATAGCATAAAATATATTTAAAAAAATATTTCAGAATTTTGCCCCCTTTTTCAATCAGAGAAACCATAATTTTGACCAAAGAGTCACTGTAGTCAATTAAATTCACAATATGTAATGCAAGACATACAATACAGTGGAAAGGCATGTTCTGCATATCAATTTTCACTAAATTAACAGAATGATGAACCAAAATAACACATAAGCAGCAATATTTACCATCAAACATTTTAGCACATGAATATTGCCACAGAGACAATGCTCTCATATAGGGCTGCACGATAAATCGCATGCGATATTTAACGCGCATCTTATCAGTAAAGCCGGTTCTGTAATCAGCGGTAAATCTCCATCACGTGTGTGCTTTCACATTGAGCAGCATTAACTACACTACATCCAAACCATAAGACAAGATCGCAGAATTAATGGCCAAAAATCATTGCATATACATTGTGAATACCTGAAATATCGCCCAGTCCTACTAATAGCCACAATTTGTCAAAACTTAACCATCTAGACCAGTGATCCTCAAATCTGGCTCGCGGGATCCACTTTCCTGCAGAGTTTAGCTCCAACCCTAATCAAACACACCCGAGTTTGCTAATCAGTGTCTTCTGGATCATTAGAAAATCACAGGTATAGTTGTTTGATTAGGGTTGGAGCTAAACTCTGCAGGAAAGTGGATCCCGCGAGCCAGATTTGAGGATCACTGATCTAGACTAAGCTGTTTTTACAGAGTGAGATGCTGGTTAACACAAAGCAGCTACGGTATCAGCAATGGAGCAAATATGTGTTCACAAAGCCTATTAAGGTCTTGGCTAATCCAGACTAGCCAAGACTTATCCAGAGTTAGGCTGACAGTTTTAACTTATTTAGGATGGGCCATTAATAGGATGACTGAGCACCAACAAGCTGCTTTTTTATATATACTTCCTTTGGTGGCACAGGGATAGCGACAGGGAGAGAACTTTTACTTATTAATTCTCTCATAGCGGTAGAGGTCAATCTTGTGTATTTTCACAGAGGTCACAGATCCACATAGGAGCCACTGTGTCCTCAGAATCATTCACTGTTACAGAAGTGCTCATGTTCCTATCCAGAGTTCAAGAACGCTTATGCAAAGCTCGGGTTGCGTTGACAAGCTTGGGTGGTGACAACTTCAAAGAAAGGTAAAATAATCTTGCATACAGGTTCACCAATGTCAAACAGAATGTTTAAGTCAAATGACCCTTCCTTACACTGCGTTCCCCTGGTTAGCGTCACAGAACATCCTAGAAACCTCTTGGAAATTTCTCTTAACATTTTCAGTAAAACATGCTCATGAATGACACATTAACTTAATTTAAAAACCACAGAAACTGCACAAATGCTTACCAGTCAACTAAAGTCTTCTGTGATATAGATAACAACAGATATCTTTGGTTTACGTTTCTGCATCAAACGTGCATCTATAGATGTGTAACATCAGAAAAGAACAAAAACATTTTACTGAAAAGAATTCATATTGTTCGTGGAAATCAAGTTCTTTCCAATATGAAGTTCTTTAAAGCTTCTCTGAGTTGAAAACCGTAACCAAGGTGGGCGGAGTTTAGCGAGGATCATTTGGACTTCATCTCACCAAAACCCACACTTCTGTCCATCTCTCCCTATCTGACTTTGTCATCAGCTCATTGTTTCATCCTACTGTATGATCCATTTTAATACGAGCAGCTCATTTTGTGGTTTCAAGTGGAAAAACAGTCCTAACTAATAGGAAATGAATGAAGGCTGTCCGTGTCAGATATCACTGCTTACAAACTCACCGAGTCATAGACAGAACAGCAACCAAACTTCACAGCTTGATAAAACATCCAATTCTCCTTCCTTGGGAGTAACCAGAGTCCAGTGTGCAGAGCAATCACGCCCTCATAAGGCAATAACTGTCCACCATTTTGAGATAATTCAACCCAGGAATAAATGGTAAAAGTGCAGAGATGACCCAAATTTGACAGGTGGCACAGACTGACATAGTATTGCTCCAAAGATGCATCCGTTGATTGATGCTTTGTACTCAAGGCTGATACTTGCATACTAATTGCTTTTTTTTTTCTCATTAACTTGTCAAGATTATCAAGGGAAAACATCATCTGCACCAACTAAAAAGCATTTATACTTCCCTTCACTAAAGCAACAAACGCTCAACTGACAAACCTCAGCCTGATTTACCTACGATTTGAATACTGTAATCCAACAGGATTCATGCAGTTACACAAACCATTGTCACTTAATTTGCACTTACTGACACTGTGCAAAGCAACTCTGCCATACAGTACAGTCATTCTCCATTGCACACATTCCTCTCTAGCTCTATCAAACGGCATGCAACATGCATTATCATACAACAGACCACTTGGGTCAAAAACTGACAGCTAGAAAAACAAACCAGCCAGTATACAACCATTTCGCCTAAAAGCAGACCTCTGGTATACACGTACATGCATGTAAGTTACACACAACAGAGAGCATGCTGAGATTTGTGTGCTGTTGCATGCCAGGCCCTGTCCAGTATTCGACCCGCATATGCTAACGCGCTAACGCCTAGCATATTCGCTACCGTTGATAGCCTGCAAACAATTCACTTGGATTAAAAAAAAAAAAGAATCATTAACCGCAAACACCTCAAACCTACTTTAGAAAACCGCCACCGCGATAAAACGGAGGTGGCGTGTTTAGTACCACAAGTCACCGCTGAAAACCACAGCGAAACCTGTCGACTGACTGTATATTTATGTGTATGAGTGAGTTTAACGGCGGCGGCAACGGCGGTTCTCGTACCGAGCAGGAGCAGCTTCAACTCCCGTCTCGCGTCGCGTTTGTCCCGACGCAGTTGCTTATCGATTTCGGCGTTGATTCGTTTCGACTCCTTGGCCTCTTCGCTCAGGCAGCAGGCCATCATCGACTCTAAAGTCATCCCCACTGCTTTACTGTACACAGCCCGGCCTCGTCGGGGCTTCAGAAACGAGGAAAAAACACAAAAATATCACTTGGTTCGGGTGGCCGCTGGGAAGAAGGTTGGTAAAAATGAAATAGTCCCCGCAATCCTCCTCCTCTGAGGAAAAATATCAAGAAAATGAAGGGGAAAAATGAGAAGGGGGGTGAGGAGATGATCTGAAGTGGGTTTGAGAGTGGGGGAGGGGCCGGGGGGCCTCGCGCGCTGCGTTCAATCCTCTCGAGGTGAGCGCGAGCTTCTACCCCGCGTGCGGACCGCGGCAAAATCACGGAGGTAAGAGAGGAAGAAAAAACCGGGAGGATGAGGAAGGGAAGGCAGCGTCGACGACGACGAGGAGGAGGTCCGGGAGCCGTATCTCGCAAATGATTGAAAAATCCAGGGCAAACTATCCTCGCGTGCGTGCGACACTCCCACAACAGCTCCGCGGCGGCTCACCACCAACACGGGTCCCGGTGAAAACGGGACAGATCGCACAGTCGCGACATCCACTTTTCCTATTTACCCCCTCTCCAGCCTTATCCACCCCTTCAAATGGAGGAAAAACAGATTCCTCCTCAGAAAAGGAGGAATCGCTGTCCGATCGGGTGAATGAAGCGTCACTACCTCACAACCAGTAACTGAATAATGTCAAAAACATTCCCTTTTGTGTCGTTTTATATCACGGGAGCGCTCAGTCACAACACTTGTAGAAAGATAAAATTCCTGGAAAGAAAAAAAAAAGCCAGTTGCCTTTAAAAATGGATTATGCCACTTTTTTTGCAGATGACAGCAGCGTCTCCTCCTACTTCAGCTGCGTGCGCGCACACTAGATGATTCCACACTGCTACGGATGATTGACAGGGAGAGGAGGCGGGAGCAGGAGAGAGGAGGCGGATAACAGGAACTGTCATGTTTGGTCGACGGCACAAGTCAGGCTATTGGAGTCAGGCAGGCATTCTGAGAGCGCTCACTGCCGGGGCGTGTCGCTCATTCTGAGGGAATATTTCTGAGGGAATATTGTGCACTGGCCTAGCGCTATTACTTTCACAGAAGTCTCGCATTATAGAACAAATTTCTCATAAATCATGGATGGTTCGCTCTTATAGATAAATATACTTTAATGATGCCAAGAGGGAAATTGTGAATACGATTTATAATAATAATGAAACGAAATAATTCTGCTATGTCCCTTATCAAATCATTAAAGTACTCTATTAATCCAACGAAGAAAAATGTGAATAATGGTTATTAAAATTGAAATGTGCTCATACGATTATTATTATTATCATTGTTGTTGTTATGATTACTATTACTACTACTTCTACTACTTTTGTATCTGACTAGTCACATAGCATGGAAAATTGCATGGAATAGTATGGAATTACTGTCCCTCACGAAACGATAATAATATAACCACCTTAATATACGAAGACTAAAGGAGTAAGTTATGAAAATATTATACATAACAACATATATGACAAGGCTATGTATTGGTATCGCCTGTGTAGGCTGTTAATAATTTAACGGCGCACTTCACAATTGTTGAACTCTGCCTACATCTAGTGGACACATCTGGTATTACATGTTGATTTTTTTTTTTTTAATCAGGGGTCTCTAAAATCGGTCTTGGAGGGCCGGTGTCCATGCATTAGTGATGGGAAACCGAGGCTTTCTGAGCCGTTTGAGGCTTTCATCAAATTGTGCCGAAAAACGGTTCATTACTCGAAGCTTTTTAACACAGTGCGCATTAGCGACATCTGGTGGTCAGACTCGGTTTCTCCAGCCTATCTAACGAAACAACGCGGAGCAGAGGATGGTTTGAAAAAGTTTTTAATCTGTGCCAACCGGCGCCAACTCGTGTCATGCGTAGTCCGGTCAATGGATTCACATATTGATCAATAATATAAAATACACAAGTGTGTGATTATAATTAATAATTGACGTGAGTAGTAGCAAAAATATTTTGGGTGAGCTGTTCGGGGTCTCTGAGACCCCAGCTAGAACATGATACAATGCAATAGAGGTGTGACGTGCGTTCAGTGTCTGTCTGGTGTTGAGGTTATTCTAAACTATTCTACTGAATCCCAAATAAGTGTACACACACACACACAACCAAGTCAGTAAAGTCAAACACAAGAGTCAAGCGAAGCGCCGATTTTTTTCAAACCAGCTGTCCCGACCTTCCGATACTGCATGACGTTCGAAGCTTCAAACGTTATCAATCACGTGGTATTGTCATTTTGATACAAGCATCGGCACAGTGTGTGATACAATAGTGCTTTGAAAACTGCGTCGGAGCATCGGAGCCTCG